TCCGTTAAACTAGCGCAGCGCTGTATAGCAAAAAAATGGCGTAAATTGCAGTATCTATACCATAGTTTGTAGACGCTATAACTTTCACACAAAGCAATCAATATACACCTATTGGGATTTTTTTTACCAAAAACATGTAGCAGAATACATTTTGGCCTAAATTTATAACTAACTTTGAGTTTACTATATATTTTTTTTATAGCTGAAAGTACAAATATTGTTTTTCTTCACAATTTTTGGTCTTTTTTTGTTTATAGCGTGAAAAATAAAAAACGCACAGGTGATCAAATACCACCAAAAGAAAGCTCTATTTGTGTGAAAAAAGGGTGTAAATTTAATTTGGGTGCAGCATTGCATGACCGGTCAATCAGTTGAATTAGTGCAGCGCCGAGTAGCAAAAAGAGGCCTGGTCATTAAGGGGGGGTAAATCCTCAGGAGTGCAAGTGGTTAAGTAGCTGCAAACACTCTGGAAAAATGTATCCTCAAATTTCACAGCAGAAGCCTTGAAGTCTTCCAAGTCATTCTGATACCAGGCCAGCTCATCAGAGAAGAAAAATTGAAGGCTGCTAAGACACAACTGTGAGAGGAGCACAGGGTAAATTGAGATGCTGAAATAAAGACCCAATTTTATTGTTTTTGCTGTAATTGCTCCACAATGCCTGCAGCTACAAACGTCAATGTGAAGGTTAGTTAAATTATATGTCAAAACCATTTTTTCAACTTTTGTAGAAAATTGAACCAGTAAACAAAACACATTTTTCAGCTTTTGGATAAATTGTGGAAGGAATAGAATCTATGTCTAGTTGTTATTGCTGTATGTGTCCCTGCTGGGGTATTTGCCCTCATTATGGTCCTGGTAACCATTGTCTCAATTTATGAGCATTCACAGAAACATTAGGTGAGGGGAAATTTTTCAATAAATGAACTTGTTCCAGAAACAGCTGTCTAAGAGGAATATCCCTTACTTCTCTTACTTCCTGACTCTGGGTGAGGAAGTGAAACCCCCCCCCCAATGAGACAAAAAAAATGATAGAACTCTTGACCATTGCATAATCAAGCAAAAACATTTGGGCTTTACACACATTTTAAAAATATGTAAATATTTGAATGCCCATAGCCTGGCCAGATGCTTACTTTTAGATTGGAGGAGAAAAGTGTTAGTTTAACTGTTAAAGCAGAACTTTGGGAAAATATTTTTCCAACTGCATGGGTTAACTTCTTGTTTTTGTCTAGGGGATTAGAGAGCTAAGATATACTAGCTAAGATATACTCACCTAACCTGCCGATCCTCCCAGTGCAAGACCGGTCCCTGACACTCCTGCCCCCTGCGGTCTAGCGCGATGGAGTGTCCTTGACATCATCGTGCCCATAGCTCGGCTCTGGACGTGAAGACAGTCCACCGCTCAATGTGAGGAAGCACCGTTTGCGCGGAGGATGAAAGGATTGGGTGAAGATAAGCTCTGTGTTCACCCATAGAGAATATGATCTGTTAACCCATACAGCGCGGGCCCCACTGCATGGGAGAAAAACATTCCCGAAGTTTTGCTTTCTGGGTTCTATTTCTATTAGGTTAGGGTTTAGGGGGTTTGTTTAAAGGAGTAATTTAAGAGTTAAATATTGTAGAATATTCTGGTGGCAGTGTGTGTGTGTGTGGGGGGAGAGGGTCATACCTTAATACAATATGTTGCTTGTTTCTTTCCCTACTGTGTCCTCTTGAAGAAATACAGTTTGCATTATTTAAATTAGGACTTCATTCCTTGTTACAGCCATATTGCAAGACCAGTGGCCGCTATGCAGTGTATCCCCACAGTTTGTCTTTGTCCCACTGTAGTTCTTTAGAACGAGCAGTGACACAACTACATCCCCGCTCGCTTTAGTGGACAGACTCAGAAGTCCTAGACTCCCAGTCTGAGCAGCCCACAACATGTATGCCATGGCAGCTGGCTATGTGGGCGTGTCCAAGATAGAGCCCTGGGCACCAAATCCGCCCTCTGCTCCTCGTCAGCTTCAGTGCACACGTTGTGTGTGGCTTACTGCATTCCCCTTTGTATAATGGGAAATGTAGGTCTCTTTCCCCACACTGATATGATGTGCGGGAAGAGATAAAGTCCTCCTCCCGCCACCAGGAAGGAGTATTCTTTTCCAAGAATTCCATGACTCTGGGACTGAACATTTTAAATAGGAAGAAAAATAAGTCACTATAATTTAAACTTCGTCAGCAGTGCAACTGAGTTTAGGGAGAGGGATAGGCATTTGTAATGCTACCCAAATTCTGGAGTTTAGCTTTAACTTTTTGCCTTAGTTTAGGATTAAATTCTACATTTTTGGGTGTAGGTTAAGTTGCAAGGGCTAATTTTGGAAGGTAACTTTAGAAATTAAGGATTAAGGTTGAATATAAATGTTCATAATAGAGGATTCTTTTTGGTGAGATGAATGTGTTTATAATTTCAGTCACATTTGTTTTTGGCACGGACTGGTAACCCATCTGGTAAGGAAGAGACTACAAGAACATGCTGTCAATGCAATAGTTTGACCAAATTACTGGCAAGTCTAAGGACGGGTAAAAAAAGAGTAACAGTGACAGTCAATGGCACTGATGTCCTAAAATACTGGTCAGAAAAAGGCAGGAGCTGTATGGAGTATAAGACGAGGAAGACCATACAGAACATAGAAATCAGCTATAAAAGCCCTTTTTAACTAGAAAAAAAACTATTTGAATTTATACAGCAAATATCTTCTGTGTGGAAATTAGAACCAGTAGAAACTTTTTAAAAAATATGAAAGAAATACACAAAAAACAAAGGGGTTCTATTACTTTTTAATGTATAACATAAAAAACATATAAAATAACAATCTATTTAATTCTAGCAGCCCCTACAAAGAAAAATATATTGTTTACTAGAAAACAAAAACTATACTAATATACCTCTTTGAATTCTGTTTAAGTTAGAAATACAAGTGCACAAATACCAGTCCAATCCAAACATTAATACTATAGTTATACAGTACATCTTAGGTCAGGGGTGTCCAAACTTTTTTCAAAGAGGGCCAGATTGGATGAAGTGAACATGGTGGAGGGCCGAACATTTTTTCAAACATTCTTTGAACCATTACAATTAAATGCAAATAAATTATTTTATGCCAAGTTACCGTATTTTTCGCCGTATAAGACGCACCTGACCATAAGACGCACCTAGGTTTTAGAGGCAGAAAACAGGAAAAAAAAAAATTCTGAACTAATGGACTGCAGACACAGTACAGGAGATGACCAGAGACTGCGGACAGCACAGGGATGACCAGAGACTGCGGACAGCACAGGGATGACCAGAGACTGCGGACAGCACAGGGATGACCAGAGACTGCGGACAGCACAGGGATGACCAGAGACTGCGGACAGTACAGATGACTGCTGACCTTTGGGGAGGTGGGGAGCGGGTACCTGAATTTGACAGGTACCCGCTCTTACTTCCGCAGTTGTTCTTTGATCTTACCTGTTCCTCGATCCAGCCGCGCGCTGTCTTCCCGGCTTCTGTAATGGCGCTCGGCATGACAGCCGGGTGCCCAGTGCGCATGAGCGAGAAGCACTTGCGCTTTGTGATTGGTCCGGCGGCTTCTGGGATCTGTCATGTGTCCCAGGTACCGCCTTACCATTCACAAAAAGCACCGCTTCTTGCGCATGCGCACTTGGCACCCGGCTGTCATGCCCAGTGCCCACACTACAGAAGCCGGGAAGACAGCGCGCCGCTGGATAGAGGAACAGGTAAGGTCCCGCTGCAGAGCTGAGCGGCCGGCCCGGTATTCTGACACGGGCGCGGTGGAAATACCGGACCGGCCGCTCCATATTCGCTCCATAAGACACACTGACACACTGACATGGAGGGCCGTATTAAACCGACCCTCGGGCCGTAAATGGCCCGCGGGCCGGACTTTGGACATGCCTGTCTTAGGTCATGGGAGCAATCTGTGGGTCAAAGAATATGATAGTCATTTTATGGGGTTCAAAACACATTTTTGAGGGGGTTTCAATACTTTGGTAAATTGACAGCAAGTGTCCCAGAAAAATTGACAATCTCGGCAAAGTAAAGAATGAGAAGAACACGTTTTACTTCAGTAACCAGTAACAGAAATCACGAGATAAGACTTAACAGGACACAGCATTAAAATGTTATGAATGAGTATGTCGGAAAAGGACAAGCAGAGGGAAAAGGATTAGTCACCAGTATGGCTTGTAGCTTCCATGCAGCTGATCTTTCCCCCAATGCTGAGTTGCCATGCTTTGTTTTACACCTGGTCTCTGTTCGGGGGCAGCCATATTAGTAGAGCTTTGTTTTCTCATGTTAGAGCTACCAACTTGATGACTGGTGATCCGATAACTGGTGGGGGAATATTCAAAAAGTAGCAAGAGAGCTGGGTGAAACATAATTCCACAGGATGAATAAAGCAGAAACAGAAAGATTTCTTCACTGCAGGTCCTCAGGTACAACGTTTTCTCTGGTACAGTAGTGAATTCACCAAATCTTCCTCCAAACTGTGAGTCTAGCAGTCATAGGCAGGAGCTCTTTAGATGATCTCACACAGAAGATATGAAGTTATGACGCTATAGGCACAGGAGTACCTATAGAATAGCCACATGTCAGGAAATCCACTATTTGTTTTTTTAGAAGAATTAAATGCAAAAAGTGCATCTTTCAAGGTACTGCTTAGGCACAATTAATGTTTCTAGATGTTCCCTAAAACATAGCAAATCCTTAGTTTTTGAGTCCAGGTCCATACTGCTACTTTATAAATCGGGCCTATAGTAACAATAAAAAAATTCAAATTGCCTTTGACTCACCAAGCGTCGTAAAGTAACATTCATGCTGTCTGGCATTTTGGTAGCTGTTTTGGTGACAGGATGTTTTTTTAGGCATTTGAAGAAATCCAAGCTCCTTTAGAGACCACCACCTGATGCAGAATTAGATTTAGCCCACATTTAATGTACTGTAGCAAAGTGGAGCATCCTAACCATCCTGCCAAAACTCTGGAAAAGGTTGAAGGTCATTTTGTCGGTTTTCTTTCAACTTTTGCACAATAATCCTTGCAAATAGCTCTCCTTGCATGTCACATGTGTCGATGAGCCTTCGAACCTTTGCACTCCTTGTTCGTTCTGATCTTACCAGCTCGTAGTCCTCTTTTAGGATGATCATGTTTGATATGAGTGAGTCCAGGCACTGGTTGAGACAAGCCTCTGTCATCTGATTCACAATCTGATCTCGCCTGGTTAGAACCCACCTGAGGGCTGAATAGAAAGACTCTTGCTGAGGGTGGATAATCTTGGTGACTAAGGATAGGGATGAGCAAAACTGAGAGTTATTATTGCCCTGAAAATGTGTCAAACATTGAGAGATTTCAGCAGAATGTCACCATATTTGTAAAATGCATTAAGATGGCCATGCGTGATCTTTTTTCTTTAGCAAGCAAGGAAAAAAAACAGATTCCTCCAACCCTGTAACAAGGTGGAGGGATGAATCTTCCCCCCCCCACACATTATATTGTGACAGTGGCACCCTAAGCTGTCAGAAAACAATGATCAGCAGCTGCAGCTGATTGGCTGCAGCCTCTGATCAAAAGATTTTCCAAAATGCTTCTTCAACAGAAGTCAATCTAACCATCAAATTTTGTCAAGTGGGGATGGCCAAACACTGAGCGAAATACAACTGGTCCCTGCTGAACTTGCCGGATTTCACTCTGTGTATGAGTGTGTTGATGGGAAGGGTGGAACTTAAGGTGATTTTTGGTAGTTTTTACGGGTGAGATAGGCATCAAATGGATTCTTAGGGCTACAGAAACTCCTATCATCTATCCTGGACCTGTTCTTGTGCAGCAAAATGATCCCTTATTAGCCTTGAATTTTTTTTACAGAAAGAACAAAAATAAATTTAAAAAAAGTAAAGGATCCAAAAAAAAAAAAAGAATGCAAAGAATGAAATATACTAAACGTTTCTAAATACACCATAGAAAAATTAAGAATTAAAAACAAACCTGAATAAAAACATTTTTGATTACATTTCCCTGATGGCAAAACTGTAATTTAAATATTTATGATAAACTGAAGGAGTAGTAACCTGTGAGAAGGTAGGCCAATGAGGAGGAGTTCTAAACTGGATAAGGGTGTGTGTCCCTATGCACCAATTAGCCAATTAATAAATATAAAATATAACCTTTATTAGGATTTTAATAAAAAATGTATATACTGAACTGTATTTAATTCAAAACCTTATAGACTGGAATGCACTGCGCTACAATCTCATAACTGAATTCATGACAATTATTAGCCAGTACACCCATCCCTTGCATCCAAATAGTAGCCAGCACCAAGCCAAGTTAGATTACATACCGTTTTTGGATGAATTTGTGGCTAAAACAAATGTAGTTTGATCATATGCCTATCAGGTAGAATATATACACTCTCCACTGAAGAAATTAAGTTCCCCCAGGAAAGAACTAAATAGGTAATACGATCTCTTTTGCTACAGATATGTAATATGGGTACACTCAATCACGGGCCTCAAAACAAGCCTCTAATGGACAAGCCCCATACATCACCATATCCGGTCAAAAATACCTCACTATCTTGAGGAATGAAAAAAATGCACTAACATGCACAGTGCAGATCACTCTAAAAAAAGGGGAGTAAATACCTTGTGCATTCAAAAAGTGCTCCCAAATGACCCATCAAAAAGGAAAGAACTCTACATTTACATGTTTCGCTCCAACTACAGAGCTTTGTCAGGAGTATAGAGAACTCAAATCAGATCAGGTAGTGGTAAGAAGCTGTGCTCAATATCGCATGGTGGCAGGAAATGGTACCTATTGTTTCTTTTACCCCTATACATAGAAGTATCGGCCATCAAAATGGCCGTTACATGCGAGACGTCATGACATTACCGTGTACTTGCGTGATCACGCACACGCGTCGTCACAGTGCCTCTAAGCTTCCGCACATGCTCAGTTCATCATAGGTCACCATCTTGAGGATGAAAAACAACACTACAACAATATAGGAGGCAATATATTCTGCTGTTCCACTCAACATATGTCCCATGGACACAACATTAATGCCCCACTAGTTGAGAACCTTGTTTACAGTTCATACCATTATATAGCATTTTATGGGGTCAAATCAAACAAAAAAACAGATTCCCTAATCACACACAAAGGGGAGGATGGTAAAGCCTTCATTTAACCCATAGGGTGCCCTTGAGTTTAACTGGAAAATCCATTTTGCTTCAATCTTTAAGAGTCATTTATTTAGATCTCCTTTTCTGGGAGGGTTATATTTATTAATGATCCAAAAATCCAAAAACTTAGGGGGTCTGCCTTACCATCATGTTTTTGTATCATATGTCTAGCCACTGGTCTATCCTTGTTTCGAGTAATATCATTCACATGTTCAAGAACTTGTCTCCTGAAAGGACGAATTGTTTTTCCTACATATAATAAAGGGCACGGGCATTTTAAGGCATAGACCACCCCTTCCGTACTAAAATTATAAAAGTCTGTTATTTTGATGATTTCATCATTTTTGGAATTGACAAATTCCTTGATATTACACAAAAATGTACATGCTCTACAATGACCGCACCTAAAACTACCTTTTGTTTTTTCTGATAGCCAAGTGTGTTTTATTGATGTCTTGGGGATTTTCTCCAGATGGCTGTGTACTAGCATATCTCTCAAGTTTCTATCCCGTCTATTAGTTATCTTTAGGTCTTTTAACAAGATCTATGATAGGTATTTATCTTCATACAAAATGTTCCAATATCTCTTTATGATGTTAAAAATCTGCCCCTATTGGTTTGTGTATGTGCCTATGATTCGCATACCTTGCTGGTCATTCTCTTTTTTAGTCTTTTGACCCAACAGGGATTCCCTCAAAACCCCTTTTACTTTCTCATAAGATTTGATCAAATCAGTCTTATGATAGCACCGTCTCATTAATCTGTCAAACAATTTCTGTCTCTCAATTTGGAATGCCCCTTCCGTTGAACAATTTATTATTGCTCTCATAAATTGACCGGTGGGGATTGCTCTCTTCAAGGCTGCTGGATGCAGACTTCCCCAATGTAATAAACTATTCGTAGAGGTTGGTGTCCGATAGATTGTTGTATTAATATTACCACCGTCACCCCTCTTAATCTCCAGATCCAAGAAATGTATGCTATCATACTTGAGTCCATTCTTAAAATACATCCCAATATTGTTTTGATTAAGGGCAGTTACAAATTCTATGAACAGATCTTTTTGACCCTGCCATAATATAAACACACCATCAATAAACCTTACCTACATGAGAATGCGAGATTTAAAGCATTCCAGTTCCTCTACAAAGACCATAGTACATTCCCACCACCCAAGAAACAGATTCGTGTAAGTAGGTGCACAAGATGAACCCATCGCAGTTCCTCTGCATTGTCTATATATTTTTCCATCAAATAGAAAGAAGTTATGCTCTAGGATGAACTGCAAAAGTTGAAGAATGAATGTAGTATGTTTCTCAAATAAATTACCTCTAGTTTCCAAAAATGATCTACAAGCTTTCAGACCCTGGTCATGACAAATGTTACTATAAAGGGCCTCCACATCTAGACTAGCTAGCCATACTCCTGATGAAGCTCTGTAGTTGGAGCAAAGCACGTAGAGTTCTTTCCTTTTTCTTGGGTCATTTGGGAGCACTTTTTGAATGCACATGGTACTTACTCCCCTTTTTTTTTTGGAGTGGTCTGTACTGTGCATGTTAGTGCATTATTTGCATTCCTCAAGACAGTGAGGTATTTTTGACTGGATATGGTGATGTATATGGCTTGTCCATTAGAGGCTTGTATTGAGGCCCATGGATGGGTGTACCCGTATTACATATCTATAGCAAGATAGATCATATTACCTATTTAATTCTTTCCTGGGGGAACTTCATTTCTTCAGTAGAGAGTGTGTGTATTCTACCTGATCGGCATATGATCAAACCACAATTGTTTTAGCCACAACTTCATCCAAAAAACGGTATGTAATCTAACTTGGCTTGGTGCTGGCAACCATTTGCATGCAAGGGATGGGTCTACTGGCTAACAATTGTAATGAATTCAGTTATGAGATTGTAGCGCAGTGCATTCCAGTCTATAAGGTTTTGAATTAAATACAGTTCAGTCTATAAATTATTTATAAAAATCATAATAAAGCTTAAATTTTATATTTATTAATTGGCTAATTGGTTTGTATGGACATGCACCCTCGTCCAATATAGAGTTGTTGATTGCCAAATATGATGATTTATAATTAAAGCTTAGTAAAATTATTCAATGAAGAGGAGTTGCATAAGGTGAGGCAAGAGATAACAAGATAGTGAACTGAAATCTTTGTAGTGTCATTTATTAAAGTGGAACTTCACCCTAAAAGGGAATTTCTGCTTTATGCTCTCCTCCCCCCTCCTCTTCTACTTTTTTTGGGAGGGAAAGCAGGTACCTGGTTTTAACAGATACCGTCTCCCACTTCCGGGTTGAATTGCCAGAAGCTCTCCTTCCACCCAACCTTCTGGAACACATCACAGGTCCCAAAAGGCTGTAGAACCATTCACAAAATGCAGCGCAGCTAGCGCATGCGCAGTGAGCCATTGCCTGTGAAGCTGCATGGGATCATAGCTGGCTGCAAACAGTAAACAAGATGGCTTCAGGGACCCAAAGGCTGATGAAGAATTGGTTTGGATGAGCACAGCGCTGGAACCCTGGACTGATTAGTGTACTTTTATTACAAGTCAGCAGCTACAGTATTTGGAGCTGCTGACTTTTAATTTTTTTCAAACAGCATGAAGAATCGCTTTAAGTAGGGGCAAAGTTAGAAATGTTACAGCTGTTAATACAGCAAGATTTGTCAAAAGTGTCAAAAGTAGAGGTCAGAATCTAGATTACATCTAGCTCCTTGGCCCGGGGAGGCCTAATAGGTGTTCTATTGGTCTTGATAAAGACGATGGGGAGGGGACACAGGGGGAGGAAATATTATCAGCTCACTTTTGGAAAGATTGAATTTGATAAAGTGGTGTGACATCCATACTGATATGTCAATGAGTAAGTAAGTGATGAGTAAAATTCAGATAATTCTTACTACTGCCACTTTAAGAACCTGATGCTTGGACTGCAACAGATTCTTAAAGAATTACTGCCAGTTCACAGATTGGGAAACTGTTAGTATTTAAGAACACCTCTGAGCTGGTGTACAGTGGTATGCCAGTGCTCAGAGTGTGGTATGTCTGTGCTTGGAACCTGTAATGAATGTGACAGCTTACCAAACAGGACTCTATCCCTAACCCATTCAGATGTTAGCCTAGAGATTCCATTTTTTGAAAGTTAAATGGAAACAAAAGGATTGGGGCTAATGGTGATGTTGCTAGAGGGAGGGGACAATGTTGTGGGTGCCAGCTATGGATAACAACAATGATCGACCAGGAAAGCACATCCTAACCAACTGACTTTACTCCAAGAAATCAAGGTATGTCAGTCCACATTATTCAGCACCTAACAAACATGTTAAGCAATTGTACTGAATCTCAAAAACATTTATACTTAATATCCTATTGTACAAATAAAATGAATTTGCACATACTAGATGCTGATCCATCAGATGGGCTAGTTGGTAAAGTATATGGCGGTGGTTGAGGAGTCCCATTGTCTGCAAAAGAAAATATACGTTATTGATATTTTTTCACCTTTCCTGGTAGGCTTTTTATTTAAAGAGGAGTCAAGTGTTTCAAGAAAAAATTGCTGCATTTTTAGAGGCTCCAATCATATGTGGCTACACCCAAACTGGATGATCAGCAGAACCACTGGCCATTGATGCGGGCAGTTTGCGTCCAGGGCTCTCAGAAGCCCTAATTGCATGGAACTGCTGGTGTGAGTGGTTACATGCAAAAACAATGGTGGTGCCAACCATTGAGTTGCACAGCTACTGGCAACAACAATTCACACCAAGCATGTACATATGGATTGATTCTATGGCAACAAGAATTGCAGATTCTCACTAGGAGCCACCAGTATTAATGAGGTCTTGATGGTTACATTATATTTTATTGTTTCTCCTCATAACTTTGTGTAAATATGCAGGTTTAAAGCCATTTTTAAAATTGTATAATGCCCTTTGAAAGACCTAAAGAAATACCCAAAATGTTGCATCTACTTGAGTTTTAATAGGAAGTCAGCGTAAGGCATGACAAGTTGGAGCAGAATTTGATGTGCAAGAGAGGTGGATATGTCGAAGCACTAGGTTTGGTGTCATCCTGGTAAATGTATGCACTTGTCACGCATGACAAATATAGGATGTGGTAAATATTTTCAAATTGGACACAAGGGGGCACCAATCTCAATGTAGAGGGTTAAAGATTTATTGATAACAAGAGGAACCTACCAATAAATCTTTAACCCTCTACACTGAGATTGGCGCCCCCTTGTGTCCAATTTGTCTTCTACAGAGTTCTGCTTCGCTCTATGGGGAGCTGCCTTCACTTTCCATCCGCCACCTAGGACCCTTGGACTTTGGACTTCCCCGTCTCCATTTGTTGCTTCATCGCCACCCCATTTTGAACTCATTACTATTGTATATCTATTCCCCTATTTGTATTTGTACTTCTCCCGCTGTATCCGTCATTTTTCACTAACTTATCTAGACTCTTCATGTTTTTCGTTGGTAAATATTTTCAAGCAGATCATATGAGCTTGTTAATGAGTGAATGTGAAACTAAATTCCTATGACTCCTATCACTGACCTCTTCTTCTTAAACTGCTAGTTGCCTGGCTGTCTTGTTGATACATCAGTACTTTTGGACTATTACATTTATAGGCAGTCAGGATATTGGCATTTTCAGATGAAGGTCAGCAATGGCAGCCTCAACTGTTCTCAGCACTGGTTCCCTTTATACGAGGAAATTAAATCCCATAAAACAATAAGCAGTGAAGTGAGGGAGCTTGTGTTATTAGGGTTCCATATTTCAGAGGTGGTGGCACACATATGGTGGCAAAACAATATGCTTTATCTATTTAATGCTTATGGAAGTTAGAAGATGTGATAGGAGAGACAACAAAGCAGCACAATACATTGAGAAAGATTGGATCTTTAGAGATACAACTGAGCATCGATTGCTTCTAAGTGATATTGCAATCAAAATTAGCTTTTTATCTGGCTGGGACTAAAGTTTATGATGAAGAAAAGAAGGGAGTGTTGGTTACAGTCAGTGAAGAAAAGTGATCCAGGTCCATGGTTATAGATAGAAAAGTGAGCCATGGCCATGGTTATAGATGGAGAAGAGAAGGGAACCAGAACCATAATTATAGATGGAGAGGAGAAGGGGAAACAGGGTCATGGTTATAGATGGAGAAACGAGCCAGGGCCATGGTTATAGATGGAGAGGAAAGGGGAAATGGAGTAACATATTTATGGATAAAAGAGGGGATCCAAGGATTGAGCATTTGCAGAACCAACAAACACAGGTCATTTGAGAGAATCAAAGTTACTGAATGTCTATCCAAATAAACAGTAGAGGTAATCCATATAACAGTAAGAATTTGATACTAAGTTTAAGGGTAACAAAGCTATTAGAGGCATTAGGAGTGCCAAAGTCACTCTAATTGATTGCAAATATGTCAATACAGAGGAATTAGAAAAAAACATGAAGAGAAATGATCTAGGAAAAGAGTAGCTCATCCACAAGACTAATAGATTTTTGTAGATTACTGCAGAAAATAAGAAAAATAAAGAAGGAACTGGAAAGAAAGAAAGAACAGCATTCAGATAGAACATCAGCCACCACCACATTTATTACCAGGTATGTCGCTGAACTTTGCAATTCCGTATGGCAGTTCAGCAGCTGCTACATTTTCAGCCTCAGGAAGCCATGGTTCATTGAAGCCTAGGAAATTAGAGATGTTACCAATTATAAACTTATATTAGTTTGTTATTTACCAAAAAAGGCATTGGTTATGGTGGTGAGGTGATAGAAAGTGTTCACATAAGTGAGAGTGTTGGAGATATTACATATTATTATAGGCATGGTCTGAAACGGATGGTAGATGGTGTTTTTGATCAGGGCAAATAATTATGTTTTGACTCAGATAAAATAGAGTGGCTTAGACTGTCTACAGAACAGCTTCTATGTCACATAGAGAACATTAATGTACATTAAAATGTATGTTTGACATTCTTTTGTAACGTGTATGCAAACCATGATAGTCTTTTGTTCCATGTGAGCAGTCTGGTAATCTGATGTTATATGGGAAGAGTCTCTAACAAACGTTTGCTAGATGCCAGCAGTCTAGGACAGACGGTTGTTACATATGAGCAGGCTCTGATGGATTTATGTTAATTGCAAACATTCTCTTACAGTATTTTGTTACATGTGTGCAGCCTCTGAAATGCTTTATTTAAATGTGTGCCACCTCTGATTGGCTTTTGATGCTTGACACTAGAAGCTTAGCTGCAAAGCCACAGCTGTTTAAGGGATGGTGGGAAATCTTCCTGCTGGAGTCACAAAGACCCATCAGTGCAAGTGTGTCAAAGACAAAAATTAAACTCAATATAAAATGTATCTGATTTTTCTGTAATTACTAGCAGCCATATAATTCAGTAGCCTTTAAAGGACCTACTGGTAATAAGTAAGGTCTTGTTAACCTGTCATCACTGCCCCTTTAAAATGTGATCTGCAGTGGATCTCTTTTCAGAGACATCTGATAGATGGCTCAAAGGCAATAGCTCCACAACTGTATGCATTATACATGGTTACAGAGCAGTTGCAGCCCAGCCCAGCATACTTGAATGGATCGTGTTTGAGGGTGGTACTGCCTGCTGAATGTGACCTGTTGTATACATTTTGCTATACTGCATCCATGGGAGTGTGTACTAACATGGCCTCTGGCCCTGTTATTTTGCAGCTTAACAGTTGGGGGACAATAGAACTACAGCTCCACCAAGGTTGAGTAAAAAAGGCTTAAAGACTTGAGGTAACATGTTAGTAGTAGTAATGCGAATTCTAAAATAAGATACTTACCTTCATTAGAACTTAGTGGTTTGGGAACAAAATCAGGAGAGGCAGACATGTTACACTGTGTATACATAACAGAAAAAATGATGTCAGTAACGTATTGTAATTAAATTATTGAAACATCTTTCTAAGTTTAGATCTTTAAATCTTTAGTCTTTACAAGCTATAATTACAATGGTATTGTGGCCATTTTAAAAAATCACAGCCAAGAAAACTGGAACAAATTGAGCAATTGTTTATAACAACCAGTTAGTAGGGTTCATCTTTTAAATGAAGAAGAGAATCTGCCTGGTTTCTATTGGAACTACTCTAATTTGTTATGGTATTCTTTGCACCAGTTTTTGATAATCAGCCCTACTATAAAAATACTGCCAATAGAAGTGTTTTAAATCGCAGAGTGCATACCAAACAGTCAGCCTTGTGCTGTAGTAACCAAGCCACCTGCATCCATAGGGTTAACCAGAACATATTGCAGCAAAAGGTGTCCTGCACCAAGGACTCCCAAAATTACTTTTTGTAAAAATGGCTTTTTTAATTTATCATAAAAAAACAAAACCAGCAACACAATATAACATCTGAAATAAATGACAGTGTTTCGAGCTCATACTAGCTCTTTTTCAAGACAAATTAGAAATTTTGCAACTGATTCAGATTTTATGATGAGCCGCTTCTTTGTTCGATAAGAAGATAAAAAGCAATTTTTAAACAAAGTTCTGTTGGTGTAGGACACCTTTTGCTGCAATACAGTATGTACCCCCAGCCAATTCTACAGCAGCTTAGATCAATTGTTTATATTTTTGTGAAGCATGTGAGGGACTATAGCTGTATCACATATACGTATGATTAAAGAGATGGGGATACAAATATTGGAATCGCTATTGGTGACTGTTGGTGCAGGCTCTAGGGCTATTTTTCCATATTTTTTGTGACTACCTATAGAGCCACTGACCTAGAATGAGTATGTGAGGCAGGAGATGAGACTTTTTAGCATTCTAAATGGTTGTTATTGGTCATAGACCCACCAGGTAATGAAGCCAGGGTCACAATTGAAGCCCCACAACTTATACCTACCAAGACAAGTTTAAATTTCTGACAGGCATGTAGCCAATATTTTCTTTATTTCATTTTTGATAGGTAAGGGAAAGGTGAATATTCCCATCAGTTTATTCTTTGCTGTGTCCTTTAGGAGTGTTGTTTTCCTTACCCTCTATCCCAGAAATGCAAATAGGAAGTGAGAGGGAATCTCCCAAAAGGAGGGGGAATCCCCTCTTAGACAGTTGTTACCAGAACAGATGTCATTAGAATATTTGGTAGAAAGAAAAAAGCAACCGAATGCCTGTGGTCCTGCGCTGGACAGTGGATTCCACAATGTCAATATCCCCACATGTGTATGAAAGGAATGCAAGCATTGCTGCCCACAACGGACCAGAGAACTCAACTCATTGGCTCTGAGGAAGAGCTACAACCTCGAAACACGTCAGCCATCAGCTATCCAGAGGTCTACAGTCCCCCACCAGGCTACCTTCAGGGGTCTTGGACCACACTGCAGCTCTTGTGACATGCTTTCCATTTAATTTTATTCCTCTTGTAAGTATTTTACTTTTTGCCAATAAATTTCATTTTTAAAGGTAATGCACTAGGCCCGTGCACCCTCTTTTTGTCTTTTCACATACAGTCATTAGAAAATTTACCCTCACCTCTTGTTCTGGTGATGACTGTAAAATTTTGGATTTTCCATAACCTTCCGTCTTGCTGTTCTGACAATGGTCACCAGGACAAACAGAAAGGGCAAAGACACAGCAATAAAAACCTCATAAAATTGAATAAGCCAGCACCCCAAATGTGGTTTATTGAGGGCTCAACAAAACAGGTGGCAAAGCAAAATTGACAAAACATGTTCTTCTATTGATGTCTCCGGGCTTCACATGACCCTTTTCACAGGGTGACAGACACCTGTCCAATCGATAAAGAGATCCCGGAGGCCCTAACACTTGTCACTGTGAGAAGGGTTTTGTGAGGCCTCAATACATTTGTAGAGGAACATGTTTTTTGGTATCCTTTCTTTGTCACTTGTTTTGCTGATCCCTCAAAAAGCTAATTCTCATTATTGGATGCTGGATTTTCTGTTTTATATTTGTATCTCCAGTAACTGTGCATTCTGCCTGAGTTGCATTTGTGGTCTGATGCTGGATGGATTTGTCTATAGCAATTAGAACTTGACTGAGGTTTTAATCCTCCCCTACTCTATTCAAAACTAAAATGTCCCTAATACTTTACTTATCTGTGTGATCCTCCGACAGGCTCATTTTAAGTACTTTATGTGGTAGGAATTGGTATGGTGTACAGCAATTAATTTTCATTACACATTACAGCATACTACTATAGAAACCAGAGACACAGGAGTGATATATTATGGGCTTTTAAAATATACAAAAAGGAAAATGAAAGTGACTTCAAAGCTCTAATTAGGATGGAGTAAACCTGGGTACAAAACATGCATCAAGATTACCTCTAAAAAAAAACGCTTCAATGTGAGGACTTGCCAACAGCTCAAAACTAAATTATGTCATCAGTCCATTTTCTAGTAAATAAACTATAAAATAAAATAATGCACATCAAGGTATGCATACCCAAAAATCACCCTTTGTCATTAAAACCTATTAAAAACATAAAACATAATACACCCAGGGGAATGTTACCTTAATAAATATGCACGTTTCAGATAAATATTCCCAGAGTGCTACAACTACAGATTTCTTTGTTACAAATTGGTAAACATGTTATCATATCAACCAACCACCTGCCATTTGAAGTTCTCTTTAAGAACCAAGACATTCAGGTCTTCCATAGTGTGGTCTGCTTAAAGGGAACTTCAAAACTACTCAGGAAAGGAAAATGTTTGAACTAAGAACAGGGGTGGAATGACAACTCATGGGGCCCCCGGGCAATAGAGGATCATGGGGCCCCTGTGTCCTTGCCCAAACTCAAAAAAGCCTATTAAAAAGGTACCAGGGGCATCTCATTGGGCCCCCTACTGACCCCGGGCCCTCGGGCAATGCCCGAGTTTCCAAATGGTCAGTCCGCCCCTGACTAAGAATGATAATTCTGTTTTGACACAAAAGATAATGAACTAAATGTATACCTAGTTTCCTAAACCATTATCCAACAGGTTATAACTACACTCATCTTTGTGATCCCCCACCCCCACCATTCCATAGCCCTCTTCCTGCCAAATCTCACCAACTATGCAAGCTTAATTACCATTGCTGTACATGTTTGTTTGTGTTTGTGAGATTGTCTTATTAACACTCTGCTAAAACGTTGTGCACTAGTACTGCTTGGACCTTGAAGAAGGGGGCACACCCCAAAAGCTTGTCATGAAAAATTGTATGTTAGTGCAAATTAAAAAAAGTATCACGGACAGTACTCAATTGTTTCCAGCAAATACAAAAAATAATTCCAACCTCATTGTTTAATAATTGTTATTATTAACAGTATATACAGGTGAAACTCGAAAAATTAGAATATCGTGCAAAAGTTCATTTATTTCAGTAATGCAACTTAAAAGGTGAAACTAATATATGAGATAGACTCATTACATGCAAAGCAAGATAGTTCAAGCTGTGATTTGTCATAATTGTGATGATTATGGCTTACAGCTCATGAAAACCCCAAACCCACAATCTCAGAAAATTAGAATATCACATACAATCAATAAAACAAGGATTGTACATAGAACAAAATTGGACCTCTGAAAAGTATAAGAATGCATATGTACTCAGTACTTGGTTTGGGACCCTTTTGCAGCAATTACTGCCTCAATGTGGCGTGGCATGG